ACCGAAAGCATGGGGGTTCACACAGCACAAAACCCAGGAGCTCCTTTTCTTGGAGATGAAAGAGCCATGAATTAATCCCCTGTATCACCTACTCCCCCAGGATGGGCTCAGCTGCCTTCAGCCCTTGCTCCCCACAGCCAGGAGCTATTTTTTCCTGTTCTTGCTAGTGTCAATGTGTTTCTTTAAATATCTTTTTGGAGAGGCTATATATATATAGCCCCACTCTGGTGCTYTGAAAGGAGCCTCATTTCCTGTGTAAGAACTGAAGTTCTTGGCAAAGCTGCTGGTGGTTGCAGCATATGAACCACAAAAATTGTTTTTTTCAGTAGTAAAATGGCATTTCCTCTGCGACTGTGAGYTGGACTGAGCTGAATCTGGTCTGAAACCAGCCGGGTTGCTGTGGCTGGGAGACACAGGRCCACATTCCCAATTATATAAACAATGGGAGTAAAGGATTAATTGCATTAATAGGGCTGTGATGGTGCCCAGAGGTGGCACAGCCCATGACAGGGAGAGGATGGGCACAAAGCTGCTTATAACCTGCATTTGGCTGTGAAAAAGTTTGGTTCACACATCAAAAGGATTTATTAACCAATACYTGGGGAGAAAAAAATCAATTTAATTTGTACCTGATACTTTTTCTCCTTCTTTTGCACCATCTCTCTGTACCYCGTTTTGGAGAAGGTTCCTCCAGCAGCAAGGCAGGAAGCAAAACAGCCTTGCAGCCCCTGAGRGATGGCTTATGGATACTCAGGACCTTAAAATCTTCCTAAGGAGATGTGGCATCAGCTGTGTTTAGAGTTCCACATCCCCCTGACATGAATGTGCCACACCTTCCCACTGGGAAACCCTCAGCAGAAGGGTCTGACATCCCCAGCACCACCCTGGGGACTCTGATGGCAGGAGTGGACATGCAGCCAGGTCAGCAATAACCTTCTGCTGCAACAATAYCTTTCCAGGGTCATTTCTGAGTCATAAATTGCTTTTGTTGCTGCACACAGTCCTAAGGACCCAGTGTGTAAATACATCAGAGGTGGTGGTGGCCGTGGGCCACCCAAGTGGACCCTGTTTCCCTTTGCGACTCCATGACTTTCCCAGAAAAAAAATGCAGCCAAGGAACCAAAAATGAAACTTTTCTAGATTTTCAGCAGGAATTTCAAATAAGTGTCTCCTCCCAATCCCCACCACTGTCAGGATAGATCACCCTTGCAATAGTCCCTGTAGCACACAGACCATGCTGGGCATGCAGCCACACCTGCTGGCATAAAGCCCTGGCAGCCATGAACTCTCAGGAACAAACACAGAAATTCTGTAGCTCCTGCCCAGCCCCAGACACTGTCTCTACCTCCTGTCCTCATCCCTGGGACACAGCACTGACTCAGGACGTGACAGCTCACGATGGAGCACAGCTGGGCACTGGAGCAGTGCTTGGGATGGGAGACACATGAGTTATTTTGTGACTGCAGCCCAGGAGATAACAACACACCACCACAATGTGTGGCTTCCCTTCCACCCAAAACCCAAGGGCAGGGACAAGGACTGAAACTCAATGCATATCCTGCTGTGACTTCAAGGGCACTTCCCTCAGTTTCACTGTCCAAGTATTTTTGCCTTCTCCCACGATGGGTTTAAAAAAAGGGGGAAGGGATAGGTGCAGGAGGAGCTGAGCCGTGTCAGGAAGATCTTTCCAGACCTCCAGCCTTTCAGGGGCCAGCTGGTGCTCRGGAATGTCACACACCATCTCTGGGAGGCTGCAGTTGCACCTACACTGATGCCCTGCCAGCCACGTTCCTGTTGGGAACAAAGGGAAATATCCCATGGCAGTCCAAAAYACGAGTGAAGGAGCAGGAGAGCCTGGGACATCACCCTGGGAGCATCATCCCGCCCCACTGAAGCCCTGTGTCTYTCTGACTCTGTTTTCACCCAATTGTTGAACATCCTGTCTTTGTCAACTGGTCAAGCACAGAAGGAATTTCACTCCTTGACTCCTTTATKGCACAAGCATGTCTGCTGTGGACAACTACAGTGTGGAAGGAGGAAGAAGACCCAAGGGATGAAGATCCCAAGCACCCAACCAAACAAAGAGGACCTTCCCTGCAGAGCTCCAGCACCAGGACACGTTCCTCAATCCAGCCAGGAGAATTTGGAGGGRATGCAAACATCAGACACCATGTGAAATACAAACACTTATCTTGAAATATGGCCGAATTTTCACTTTTGGTGGCTTTTCTCCTCCCTTGGTGACCTTTGCTGTGCCCAAACATTTGTGCTGAGGCCAGGGGCTTGAGTGGTGGTGAATCACCATGTGAAACACCAGCAAAGGGAGCACAGTTATTACAACACTCATGTCCCCACAGCAGGGCTGCACCCAGCGCATCTTGACGACAGCAGAACTGCACGATTCGGGGTCCCTGTTGCTCAGYTTCCCATGAAAACTACCAGCATTGATGGGAAAGCAAAAGGGGAGCYCTTGGCTGTGTCCAGTTTTCCCTGAGCTGCTCTTACCCAGCAGGCAGCAAGCACAGCATGAAAGGGACACCATACCAGGGCATGTCCTCAGGTTTCCCACATTTGCATTCCCAGGAAAACCGAGACACTTGACCAACTGCAGGAGCAGAAAAGAGGCCACTAGGAAATTTATTCTTGTTTGTCTCCAAGCCCACAGATGGATATWGTCAGGACAGAGTCATTGCGCAACACAAGGACCACCATGGAAGCATCCCACCACCAGAATATCCCACCATCATAGGAGCATCCCACCACCATGGAGCCATTCCATCACCAGAGTTTACCACCACCATGGAAGTACCCTACTCCCACCACCATAGGAGCATCCCATCACTAAACCCCCCCACTACTAGGGTGTCCCACCACCACCACCGCTTCGTAGGGTGCTCTTGTTCTTCCAAACTGAGCTGAGACCACAGAAATTGGGTGCTGCAATCCCAAGCAGGTGCTGCTCAGGCTACCCAGAAGCCCATTTGSACATACTTTCTGCCTGTTTGGGTTCTTTAGCCCAAAATAGGCTTTGTGGTGAATGTGCTGCTGCCCTGAGACAGGCAGGTTTGGAGGGGAGGAGGGAAGAAGTCTGTGCATGCAGAAACATAGGTAAAATTTTCATTTTAAAGACATTTAACAGATAAAACTTTTCTCAAAAAAAGCCACTTTCAAAAAGAAAAAAAACCCCAAACCCCACAAAGCTTCCCTAAGAAAACCTCAAAAAGAAGAAGTTGGACAAAAACTGGATGATTGAGACCTAAGGGGTGCATAGCAAGTTCCCTAAACCGGAGAGGCAGAATTATGAAAAAAAAAATAAAAAAGGGGAGGGAGGGAAATAAAAAAATGAGTGAGAAAGGGAATTTCTTGGAGCTGAAGCACAGAAGAAGGAAAAGCCAGACAGGGACATGTGGTGTCATTAGTCTGAAAATCAGACGAGGAAGATCAAATCCAGCTCGCAGGGATGTGGGGAGTGGGTGCTGCTCCACCGCTCTCTCCCCTCAGCCCTTCCCAGGAAACTGCAACTCTCAGGGAGCCCATGACAGCTCCAGACATCCCATGGGGCTGTTGTTGAGACAATGAGCCTGCAGGTTCCAGCAGGAAACCAATCCCACCTTTAGCACTACAAATAAATAATTGATGTCAGAGGTAACCTGATCAGGAAGATGAGCAGAGTCCTGCACGTGATCCTCCATGCAATCTCACACCCTGGTGGGTTTTCTTCCTGAAATATCCCTTCAGACCTGATCTTTAGTTCCATCTCTAAGCCATCTCCCATGTGCCATTCCCACTCTGGGCTCATCCAAGTCCAATCCCACTGGTCCCATTTCAGTCCTGCTTCGGCCTCAGTTTCCCTTCCTCTCCCACAGTAGGTTTGGATGTCTCTGCTTTGCTGATACTTTCCATCCCTGGACATGAAGCAGGGCCAAGCTGCCCCCAGCTCCCTCTGCTGCCATCCCTTGCTCTTCAGCCTCCCCATGCTTATCCATAGCTGTCCCAAGCACCTCCTTTCCTGGAATCAGCAGTTTTTTCCACCAAAGCACCCCTGCTGCCCCTCCAGCTTGGCTGCCACTTTCCCCTTTCTGCAGGACATCAATCCATCACTTAAAACCTGAGTGAAGGGCCCCATCCAGATACTATGGATGCTGTGGAGGAGCAAATTCTGTCTGCTTTTCAACATGTTGGTGCCTTTTCCCAGGAGCCACCCGCAGGTACAGACCCTGTCCCCTGCCCTGTCCACATCTGGTATCCCTGAGGGACACGGGTGCAGAACACACCAGAGCGAATGACCCCAGTGGCCAAGGAGCCACTCCACGTCCCATCCWGCCAGTGAAGACAAAGACTGTGTGTGCCCGGGACAGCTCCAAGGACAGGCTGGCACTGGGCTGGGCGTGATGCCCAGCTGTGGCTATGTTCGGAGACCCGGCAGCGCAGCCAGCAGGGAGTGTCCCTGGCCCCACTGGTGGGGAGGCCACGTTGAGAAGCCACTGCTGGGCAGTGGCCACCGCACCCCGATATCCCCACGCTGCCCAGGGGCTCCTCCGGGGCCGGGCTCAGCCCTAGACAGGGGGTGCTCATCCCTGTCCCCCCATGGTGACCCACTGCCCTCCAGGGTGGGGGGCACCCCGTCAATCCCCGCCTACTGCCACAGCCCCGCCCACTGGTGCCAGCCCAGCTCGCCCGAGCCAGCCACGCCCACCCCAAGCTCCGCCCCAAAACCAAGCCCCGCCCACCCATGCAAGCCCCGCCTCCTGTACCAACACCAACCTGCCGGCAAAGCGAGCTGGCCCCGCCCCGACACAGCCCCGCCCCGAGGCTCACCAGGGCAGACTCCGCCCACTCGAACAAACCACGCCCACTTCGGATAACCCCGCCCTCTGCCCACTGCAGGTATCTGTGGRGCCGTCCCCATCGAACTACGCCCCAGCGTGGCCCCGCCCCTCAGCCGGCTCCTTCCCTTCCTCGCTGTTCGCATCCCTCGCCCCGCCCTGTCTCGCCCGCACCTGGGCGCGCTCGAAGCTCTCCCGCTCCGCTTCCTGGCCGCCGCCGCCGCCCGCCCGCCGGCTCAGCACCTTGGGCAGCGGGTTGGACACCTGCTTCATGGTGCTGCTCATTCGATCCATGGCCGCCCCGGGCCCGCCACCGCCCCGGTCCCGCCGCCCCGCTCGGCGCTGCCGCCGCCGCCGCACGGGCCCCGTGCCATTGGCCCGCCCACCTGCCACTCACGGCTGGACACGCCCAGCGGGCACCGCCCCTGCGCCCGAAGCTCCGCCCATCTCCCCGGCTCCTCGCTCTCATTGGTTCTCGGCACAACCACTGGGGCGGAGCGGCCCGGAGGACCCGCCCACTACGTGGCAACCGCCAAGCTCATTGGTTGGGCGGACGTCACTCAACATCAGCTCCCACCTCTCCAAGAGCCCCCGCCCTCTGCCCCGCCTTCAGGGACCGCACCCTTAGCCCCGCCCACCCAAGTGCTGTGGTCACACCTTCRTGCCATTCCCTGCTGTCATTGGTCCACGCCCCTGCCACTCACACGCCGGTGCCCCGCCCCGCACCTCACCCTGAGGGGCGCGGCTCCCCCTGGCGGCGCCGCTGGTGTGGGCYCGCGGGCGGCCGCGCTCGGGCCTCGGCGGGAAGGGCTCGGCCGTCTCTGGGCGGTCGGGAAGCCGTTGTCGAACAGCTCAGAGCCATAGCGGAGCCATCCGGATCCGCAGGCCGCAGGGGTCCTACAGGTTGCGTGTGCGGTCTCCGAGGCTGTGGCCCCTCACCTGGGCCCAGAGTGTGACCGCGGGGTGACACGGCATCACCGCCCCCTTCCTGCTACCTGCCTCAGGCCCAGTTCGGCCCCTCGCGGGGCTGGGCCCCCTTGTCAGGCTGCGCTTTGCTCACCGGGTGGTTCAGGGCTTCCCAGCCCTGCCCGGGGCTGTGATGGGGAGGCGGCTGCACCTTCTTGTCAGCGTGAGCCTGCTGTCCGATAGCCTGCGGGAGGGTTGTGTGGGGCTTTGCCTTTATGGGATCCAAAGGAAGGTGGGTACTGCAGGCACAGCTGGCAGAGCTCAGCAAGAAGGGTGTAGCACTGGCAGAGCGAAAAATGTGCTTACACGTGTCTGAAAAAGAAGGGAAGAGAGGTGAGAGAAGGATTTTGCTTCCCCKAAGCAGCTGGACTGTGCTTTGGCATAACCTGATCCGAACCAGTGTCTCTGGTCCCATCACTCATCAGAGATTTGTGTAGGGTTAGATTGGRTATTGGGAAGAAATTGTTGCCTGTGAGGGTGGTGAGACCCTGGCATATGTTGCCTGGAGACGCTGTGGCTGCCCCATCCCTTGMATACTTCAAGGCTTGATAGAGAYTGGAGCAGCCTGGTCTAGTGGAAGGTATCCCTGSTTATGGCAGGGGGTGGAACAGGATGAGCTTTAAGGTATCTTCCAACCCAAACCATTCTGAGATTCTCTCAACCTGATGAATTGCTGGACTGTGGCTGACTCCTGTAGTTTTGACCAGGAATACCATCTCATTCCAGAGGTAAATTTCTCACWTGGAGCATTTCTGCAAAATTGGGAGAGATTATTCTTTTTGTGAAAGGACTGAAAACTGAATCCCCAGAGGTGGCAAATGGGATGTGCTGGAGTCGTGCCAGCTGGATTTCTGCATCCTTTAAAGCAGATCWTATCAAATCAGTGACTTTGCTCCAGGTGGAGAGGAACTGTGCAAAACACTGCTGGGGTGATGGGGAAATCTGGGAACAGCTGTTTAGGACRTGGGCTGCCCAGCCACATAAGAATTGTGTAAGCACTTCTCCAGCATAACTCTCTTGTGTGGCTTGTTTTTCTCTGAAATAATTGTCACATCGGGATCCTTCTGGAGCTGCCCAGCAGGGTGTRTGACAGGCTGTTTGCCTGTCCCTCTGCACTGGATATCAGATTACAGCTGTTGGGAAATGGCCTGCACGGAGCAGCAAGGGTATTGCTCCCATTGTGGCTTGTCTCGACTGCCTGTCTGCTTTCTCCTTAATGTACTTTCTGGAAATCTGCCTTCTTCCTTGGGGCTGTTCCCAGGGGAGGTTTAATGGGTTTGATTCAGCCACTGTTGCAGCGAGGTGATTAATAATTGAAGAAATTACATCAGTGCTGAATAGAGATATYGGAAAGGAAGCGCAGAGGAGGGCACTGGACAAAGGACAGCGGTATCCTTGTGATCTGGACCTCTCCCATCCTCCACCTGGCTTGGAGCATTCTGCTCCTGGAGCCCATGGCAAGGGACCATGAGGCTGAGACCTGGTGTAGCTGCTCCCTCCTACTGAAGAGCAGAGTCACATCCTCTTCTTCCCTGGCCAGGGCTCAGTGCCCMCTTTGGAACCTGGGCCAGAGCAGAGGAAGGGGCTTGGATGTGGGATAGAATGGTCTGTTTCTACCGGCTGCTCCTGCCTCCTCCAGGAAGGGGCTGTAACAGGATGGAACCGAGATCCAGCCCGTGGGCTGCTGGTCACACAGCCCCAGGCTCGCCCAGTCCATACTGCTGGAATGTGCTGTGGGGCTCTGTGGGGATTTGAGGGACTACCTTCCAGTGGGAGAGAATGCCTTTTTTTCAGGCAGTTGAGAGGGGAAGGCACAGAGCTGTTCTTATGGAGTGTCTGCTCCTCTGCCTCAGGTTCCACAGGGAGATGATGGGGAAGGGCTGAAAGAGAGCAGGGTGGAGGTAGAGGAGGTTGGGTATTGCTCCTGCTCCCCAGCAGGTCCTTTGTGGAAGCCGTGGCTGGGGTTCATCTGTTCCAGTTCTCTGTCCTCACTCCTGTCAAAGAGGCTGGACTGAAGGGTGATGGCAGAGCCCTTCACAGGGGTGTCTGGCCTGTGTTTGTCTGGACATGGAGAGGACAGTGTGTCCCTCTTTTTTTTTCCCTGCTCAGCAGAGTGTGGCRCCCATCAAATCCTGCTCAGGCCAGGCAGGTGGGACCAGAGCTCATCCTTCCCCTGCTGCAGTGCTCCATAGGGCAGTCCCCTCTTCCTGCTCTTGTCCATAGGACCTGTAAAGGGGGGCTACTCCCATTCTACAGGACAGCCTTAACCCAAAGGATACGTGTCCAAAGCGGGAGGACAAGTGGCAGGAGAGGGGCCAGAAGGGACTGCAGGGGCCATGGGCCCTACCTGGGGTTCAGGATGTTCTTTTCCCAGGAGCTGAGAGCTAGAGTCTCCTTTTCCAATCTCCTCCCCAGCCAGAGCTGGAAAGTCCCAGGGTGCTGCTTCAACACTCCTYGTCCTCCCGTGGTCTGGCCCAGGCTCAGGCAGAGCACAGATTCCCCTTGTTTCRGCAGGAAAACAGAAGCACAGAGTTCCACAGTCCTTCCTCTGTTATCCCACTGGCTGTTCTGGAGTGAGTGATCACAGGGCTCTGAGCTAATATCCTGCTCTTCCCCCCTTGGAGATGGGAAAAATAGATCCCAAATGGATCCCTCCAGTAGCTCCTTTACACATTCCACGGCACACCATCCTGATCCCACCTGACCAGATGAGCCATCCCTGGGGGGCACATCTGGAAAGGGCAATGGCCATGTCAAGCCTTCCACAAACACAGTCCTGCAGCCACAGATGCAGCCCTGCCCTGGTGATGGGGTGATATGCTCAGATGCTGGGATAAAAACAACTTCCAAACCAAAGGGCTCATCTGGAGAGGGCAGTGTAGTGATCCAGATCTGGCAAGAGGGTCCTCGGGGAGCAAAGAGTGTTCTAGAAGAAGCAGGCATGGGGGCATGGGGAGGATGTTCATCCTCTGATSCCATGTTTTGAATGCTTTGGGCTAACCAGATATTGCTGCTGAGGCTTTGCTTGTGCTCCCAAATTGAGACCCTGGGCTGCTCTGTGGGGCAGGGACAGTCCTGCTGCAGAACCTGGGAGAGCATTGGAGGCAGAGCAGCCTGGAACTGGGAGAGGGTCTTGGAGAGGACTGCTTGGCTACGGCACTTGAGGTCCATGGGGACCTCACCTCTGTCCTGGTGAGGTCTCCTACTTGCCCAGGTGTTACATGGAGGGCTGTAACCCCAAAACATCATCTGCCGTATTTTCTGCACAGAAGCCTCAGCAACTGCCTCTGCTTGCCCAGGAATTCAGAAGCAATGCTAAACAGTTTCCAGATGGATCTGCAGGAGAATGGCCAGCAGRTCTGGCTGGAGCATGATACCAAGCCCAAGCTCTCTTCCAAGGCAGGACTTGGCAAACTTGGTTTCACAGAATCAGTTGGTTGGGAAAGACTTCTAAGATCATCAAGTCCAACCTATGACTGATCACCACCATGTCAATTAGACCGTGGCATTAAATGTCACATCCAATCTTTCCTTAAACATCTCCAGGAATGGTGACTCCACCACCTCCCTGGGCCACCCATTCCAATGTCTGATCACCCTTGCTGTGAAGAAATTCCTCCTAATTCTTCCTTTATTTCTGTGTTGTGAGCTTTGACTGCYAGAGTGGGATCAATGAGGAAAGGATTTCTTGGGGTGTGCAGGAGTTGGGTGTGAGAGCCCTCTGCTCACTGTGGAGCAGTATAGGGTGAAGACAAGGCAGGGCCTGCAGCAGGCCATGGACATGGATCTAGAGAGCCAGTATATCCCTGTCTTCCCTTTGGGGAAAGGAAAACCTTTTGGCTCTCTACAACTCCCTGGCAAGAGGGTGGAACCAGGTGGGGGTCAGGCTCTGCTCTGAGGGTACAAGTGACAGGACAAGGGGAAATGGCCTCAAGTTGAACCAAGGAAGGTTCAGGCTGAATATTAAGGAAAATTTATTCACTGAAAGAGTGGTCAAGCATGGAAACAGGCTGCCAATGCAGTGGTTAAATCCCCTGGAGGGATTTAACAGAAATAGGGATGTAAAACYTAGGGTTAGTGGTGGCCTTGGCAGTGCTGGACTCAATGATGTTGTAGATCTTTTCCAACCTGAATGATTCCATGATTTCTATTATTTCCATGATCCAATATCCACAATGCTCTTGYTGAATGCTGTTTTCAGGATTCCTGCAACTTCATGGCCTGACTTGCAGATGTCCCTGTACCTCCAGCTGACAACAACAGGAGGCAGAGTGYGCAAAGACAAAGCTCCCATCACACTGGAGCTTGGCAGCCTTAGGTCCTGCCCATCTCAAACCCAACACCAAATGATTTTATTCTCTTTTCTCTGAACTGTGACTMAACCTGTTTTGGTGTGCTGCAGCTGCCGGACAAGCCCTGCTCAGCTCCAGGCCAGGGTCTGCTCAGTATCGAGGGTGTTGTTGAGGAAGCAAAAGGTGTCATGTGGCAGAGGCATCATTTGGTTGTCCTGGGAAGTACCACCACATTTCTGTGAGGGCCACATCCCAACATGACATCCAGYCACCTCCTGCTCCTCAAGCTCTTGGTCCCAAAGTGAAGCTTTTCTAGATGCCCCAAATTTGTTTTGAAGAATTGAATGAACTGCAGCAATGTATTTTTGCCCCGCTGTGTGCTTTGAAACTGTTGGTGTCTTTCAGCTGACATTTACCAAAAATATTTATCTGGAGGCACATCCTGATGTATAGATTTCAGTCCAGAGATTTCAATGCAATTTCAAAAACTATTCTCTAGCCTTGATGGTCCTGAAGGACCAGTCATCCCAGGAAATCAAAGGTGAACARTCACAGAGAATCTACACTAAGGGTTCATGTAGACCGGTCTTGACACCCCCAGATGTGACCACAGCAGACCCCTTGAAGAGACAGGCCAGTATTCATACTGCTGCCTTGGAGTGTACTCCCAGCCCCCAATCTCTCTCATCTTCCAAATCTCAAGCTTATCACTCTGAAATCCAAGCTCTGACTCAGCCACATGGAAATTTCCTTGTGTGCTCACCATGTCACCTGGCAAGGAGCTCCTTGTGTGAAGAGCTGCCTCTCTCTGTTCCTTTTGAACCTGACTCTTGCYTTCTCCATTGAATGGAACATGGTTCCTGCTCTGGGACAGGCAGTGACTATTCTCTTTGTCCTCTTTCTAGGCCACTTATCATCTTGCAGACTTCAATTCCCATGTGGAAAGTCTCAGTTCARCCTGAAAATACTTCTTCTCATCTGAGATCTTGCTTGGAGCTTCACCATCCCAGGATCTGTGGCCCTAGTAATTTTCTTTCTGWTTCCAAATGATTTGCTTACAGCTAAACCCAGTTTCCCACATTAGTGACCTGGCAGCTGCCAGGAGCASTGTGATAATCACACATATCACACTGTGATAATGTGATCCCCCAGACATGACTCCAGCCTAGGAGKTGGTGTGGTGGAGCAGGCTGTCCTCAGGGCTGAGCAGAGGCTTCCTCCCACATCCCAAAACTCTCCTGGTGATGGATCCAAGGATACYGTGTGTGGTTTCTATCAATAGCTGAAACACACCATAAGGCAGAGGTTTTACAGTCTCCATAAATAGCCACTATTTAGGATGTATAATATGGAGGAGGTTTTAGAAATCAAAATATTTAGAGATTTGCATTATTTGTCTTGGCAGGAAGGAGCAACCAAGACTGAAATAYAGAATTTTTAAGGAAGGAACAGAGTTGAGAAAAATAGTGAATAGGGGAAATAGCAGGGGTGTCAAAACCTCCAAGAACTCCTTTTGGATGAATGGAGGCAGGAAATACAGCACAGTGTATCTGAAAAGAGGGAGAATTCATTGACAACRGTGAGGCACATTTGTATTCCTATTATAAAATACTGATTTTTCAAAACAAATCTTGACATTTCAATCAAACCTGTAGCTGAATGTTGCAGGAAAATCCAGAACACTCAACTAAAGCTGCTCTGAGCTGGGCTGTTTTGGTGTGAACCATCAGTGAAGACGTTCCAGCTCATTCCCCAGCCTCTTCTCCTCCTCTCACTTTTATTCTGGTGCCTATTTGGAGAYGTGTCAGAGCAGCGTAGGGTTAGTCTGAACGGGAATTTTTGCAAATTTGGGTCTGAATGTGTTGTTAGAAATGGCAGGAGCAGGGTATGGAAGGAGTAGATGTTGGTAGCACCTGATCTTGGAGGTCTCTTCCAACATTAATTATTCTTTGGGTCTGTGATTCTGTGACTCACACAAAAAACACTGCTCAGAGAAGACTGTGAGAGGTTCAGAGGTTGCCACTGATAACTGACTACGAAAACAATAAAGTCTGCCAACTTGCCTCCCCATTTCAGCTGTGTTTTTATTATTTTCCAGGGAAAAAAAAAGTAAAGTTACAGTTGATATAATTTACAGTTTAGGTGGAGTCTGAATAACTTTAGTCATTASGATATGTAGAGGTGTAAAAAGTAATATGTATTTCTGAGTTAATCAAGCAAAGTTCAGCTTTCATTTTCCATCTGGATCWTTCCTTTGTCTTAGTTCCCATTAGCTGCATTGTTTTCCATGGAGCCTATCCACAACACYGCAGTGTTTCTCCATCCTTTGTTTTATATTTGCTTTGGTTTCAACAGAGAATGACTGCAGTGCCTCWGTGCTGCTCCATCCTGTGTTCCATGTCTCCCTTAGAGTGGCACACCAAGCTCCATCAGCATTTGTGCTCCTAAGGTGTGTAGGCAGTTTGTCCCTCTCCTTGCACTTCTTGCTGAGYTTTGGGTGTTGGTCTCCTCACACCTTCTTTGCCCTACTGTGTACAGTGTGGTGGGGAGGACCTCATGYCCTTGGAGGTGACAGGCTCCATCCCAGTATCTGGGCTCTGGAGCACAGGACAAGGCAGGTCATGGAGCAGGCAGGATCCCAGAGGAATCTTGAACTCCTCAGCTGTTCAGAGCAGGGCACTCTGAGTCCTTTCCCACACAAGTAAATCCTCAGCCTTGATTCTGGCTGTCTTGACTGACTCTTGCTCTGGGAGTTTAAAGTCTCAGTAGGAGCTGGGATGACAGTGAGCCAATCCATGGGGAAAGAGCTGCAGAGAGGGGAACAGATGTGCCAAAGCAAAGCTTGGGACAGGGCTGTGATGGCGGCAGAGAATCCATGGGCTGTATGGAGCCTGCCTGMCTGCTGTGAGAAGGGACAGGGATGTCCCTGCTAAGGAAATGTCTTTCCAGAAACCCAGCAACATGCCTTGTGCTCCCAGGGCTCTGTGGGCAGACCCTCCTCAGCTGCCAACTCCCCAGGCTTGTACCTGCACCTCCCTGGCACCAAGGCACCACATGTTGTCTCACCCAGGCTCAGTTTTGCCCATGCTTAGTAACACAGTGTTGTAGTGAGAGAAAAAGCTCCATGTAAAATAAACCCCACCATGACACCAGTCTGCACCCTCTAATGAGTCTGGCTCACTTTTCTTTAGAATTCAGTCTCCTGAGATATGCTGATTGTGTATCACATACCCTGGAGCACTTGGGAGCCCCAAGCCTGGAATATGCTTTCCTGCAGCCCTTTCAGGGAATATCTTTGAGTTTTTCCTCTGGGTTCCTACAAGGAGCCCCATTTTGTGATCATCCTCCTCCATAGAGATGCAAGACCCTTTTGTCACTGGACTGTCAGGAAAGGCAGCCTGCCCCTGTAGCTTTCCCATAGTGGCTGTGGTTGTCCAGCACCRAGACACATTTCCTAGCATCAGGGATACCTTGCTCTTCCTCCATTCTCCTGAGGCTTTGTCCACAAACCTTTGCCTGGAAGCCTGCAGAGCCCTTCTGGAGAGATGCAACATTTCCAACAGGAGCTTTTCTGCCAGTGCAGTGACACCATTGCCGTCCCAAACAGTRTGAGCTAAATCAGCCAGTCTCTTCTGTGTGTGTGTTTGGCAGCTGGGACAATGACAGGGCAGTGTCARGAAAGTGTCAGTGCTACACTGCTGGAACCAAATAATCATCTGAGTCAGCTTTGCTGCCAATGTGGTTATGAGCTCCTWAAGTTCTCTTTAGGCATCAATGGCTGATTCCCATGTCTGTGGAGAACTGAGTACTATTTTAGCTGTCACTGGTATTTGGGAAATTGTGATGTAGTAAGAATTTTCTGCAAGGGATGCTCCAGGTCAGAAGAAGAGTCCAGGTCTGGAATGACACCGTGGTCCATCCTCTGCTCTACATGTTTATGCTTTTGGGGTCCCACGGAGGAAGCCCCCACCTTGGGACCCCAAAGTATCACAACCAAATGGGACCCAGCATGGCTGGGTGGGGCACACAGATGGTCAGCCTGACTCACGGACACTGCTCCAGCTGCAGTGGCAGAGATGAAATCTGTTTGTGATGCAGATCTTCTGGGAAACACAAATGCATAGCAACCATGCCATCCTCCGTCCACTACTGTTGACTTCTAGGTAAGAGGTCCACCAACTGATCTTCCGAATCACTCATTCTGAGTTCTCTGCAGAGTCCTTAGGTCAGGGGAAAGGAAATGACAGGTCACATCCTGTTCTCTGTCCTATCATGGTATCATRTCATTCATGGTATCATACCCTGTGCCACAGCAGAGCACTGCTGTCATCTGGGCTCTGGATGGTTCCCTCTGCAGGGTTGTGTGGTATCCTTGACACTGCATTTTTTCCATTGTGTCAGCAATGTTTCCATCCTTGGTTGCTRTATCCCCCTATAAAGAGGGCTGAACTTGGGGATCCCACACTGGGCACAASCAGGGATACTGCAGCAGTCCAGCCTGACTCCTACAAGTCATCTTCACCCACAGGACCATGAAGACCTTCACAGCAACCCTTGCTGTGCTTTCTGTAGCTATTCTCTGCTACCAGATCTCCTCTTCTCCAGGTGAGTCCAATCTCTCCTCTCCAAGGAGCTTTCTCCTCTTTGAATCTCCTGTATGAAGTCTAGTAATGCTCGGCAGCTCTCTCTTCCCAGCCTCTGCTGTGGGAAAGGAGAGGCATGTCTTACCTTGGCTCCCTGAGGTGGTGGGAGCCCAACTGTGGGAGCAGCACTTCCTCCAGTGGGGATCTTCTCATCTTCTGACTCTACTTCTCCCCACTGGCACTTTTCCTGGTCTGGTGTAATCAGAAAATTTCTCTTCCAGTTTCTCTCTTTTATGGTCCCTGCTGTGTTGGGTACATCACCAGTCCATTGCCTTTGAGCCGTGTGGTGAAGTATGTGAACACAAGCAGCTACTGCTCCCTGCCAGCTGTGATGTGAGTAGATCTCCTGCCCTGCTTCTGGGGACCCTACTTGTCCTGACAGTGCCACAGAACCCTACATCACACCWCATCCTGACAAGGAAAAGCTCTGGGCAGCACTCTCCCATATGAGGAGAACAGCCTGGAGCATCTCAAGAGTGCAATCCCACATCCCAGGCAGACAGTTTGTGGACCTCCCTATTASATTTGAGCCAGAAGAGCTTTTGCTGGTCACCCCCCTTATCCCAGATGGTGGGACCCACCTAGAATGGTGTCACACCTGTTGATATGCCGGGGATAAAGTGGCTTAAGTGACAGCAGGCAGGACGCCTGTAATGACACTGAGCCACTCCAATGCATTTTCCAAGGGCTGTTTTGCAGCTGTAGAGGTGTCTGGTCTGGTGAATTTCAGTGGTGGCACAGAGCAGATGCTCCCACTCTCCTCTCTGTCTTCCTCTTCTTTCCTTCTCCAGATTTACCACCATCAAGGACAAGCTGGCCTGTGCCAATCCTAATGACAAGTGGGTCCGGGATATCATGAATCAGCTAAAGGCMAATGAAGACGGTGGATGAGTGATACCCTGCTCTCTCCATGCATCACTTCTGCGAGGGCCTACTCTCATGGACACCTCTGACACATATTTTCTCATTGCCTGGGAATTTGGCAGGGTATTCAACTCAGCATTTAGCTCTTTTATTTAAGGTTATGCAAAGACAATCTTAATTTATGTGGCATTTTCAGTGAAATGTTTCATTCTCCATTGTACTAAATGTGTTGTAATTATTTTTGTGTAATAAAAAAGAGCAAAACTTTCAGCTTCTCCCAGTGGTTCTTGGGATGCTCTATAGAGTTTGGGGCAGGCAGCAGTGGCTGGGAGGGGGTCAGAGCTAACATTTGAGGATTTGTGGGTGGTGGGATGACAGCCGGCTGTCCTCCAGTCCCTCTACATGCACGGGAAAGCACTGCTTGCCCTGCCTGTCCCTCCTGCTTCGTGCCCCGGCACAATCCACAGCTCCTGGCTCTCCCTRATGGGTGGGTGTCACGGGGGATGTTTTGGCACAATTGTTGGTGTGGCGAGGGGTCCCCGACCTCGGCCAGCACCTTTGGGCAGCGGGCAGGTGCCACAGGGGCTCTAAGGGCTGCTGAGTTCAGCCAACACCAGATCCGACCCCATCTCCAGCACCGTTCCGGCCCGCGGCTGCCTCTGGCCACGCTTTCTTTTATTTCCGCCTCTTCCTAATCTGTCCCGGTCTCCCCGCGGGGCTTCTTTCGCTTTGCCCTGCCGGGCTGGAGGCAGTCCCAGGCTTTGGGGCTGGCTGCAGCTGTCCCGGCCGGTGCCAGCTCCTCCCCCCATCGGCACGGAGGCTCCGTGGCCGGTGCCACACGGCAGCAAGGCCGGCTCGTCCTCCAGGCTTTCATGGCACTGCCGGTGCTTCCTCGCCGTGGGGCTGTGCCAGCCGTGCCTGCCTGCGAGCCTSCCTTTGCTGCCTGACGAGGAGCGAGGGAAGCGCCCGTCGCGAACAGCGGGCCACCATGGCGCTGGCAGGTGCCCTGGAGCGGCTGCAGGAGGAGGCCATCTGCCCCATCTGCCTGGAGTACATGAGCGAGCCGGTCAGCATCGACTGCGGCCACAACTTCTGCCGGGGCTGCATCGCCAAGCACTGCCAGGACAAGGGGCTCTGGAACGACGGGCCCTTCTCCTGCCCGCAGTGCCGGGCCTCCTGCCACCGCAGCGGCTTCCGACCCAACCGGCAGCTGGCCAACATCGTGGAGAGCATTCGCCAGCTGGGGCTGCGGGGCGGCCTGGAGCCCGAGCTGGAGCCGGGGACCCCSCTGTGCCCCCAGCACGACGAGCGCCTGAAGCTGTTCTGCGAGGAGGACGAGGAGCCCATCTGCGTGGTGTGCCGGGAGTCCCTGCAGCACCGCCCGCACACCGTGTACCCCATCGAGGAGGCGGCACACGTCTACAAGGTACGGCAGGGTGGGGCACATGGGGCACCGGAGGTCCCTGTCCTGCCCCGAGGCACTCTGGCATGGGGGTGTTGGGTCACCAGGATCCCAGGATACCCAGTGGCACCGCTGGGAAAGCAGAGAAGGGGTGGTGCAGAMGGTGACACCCACCCAGCCACTCTCGCTGGAGGGAAAAGGCTGGACCCACCTTATCTCCCAGATTGCTGATGGACCCAAGCTCACCCGGTTTATTCAGTTCAGGGAGGTAGCCTGCTCCCTGCCCATCCACAACCCCTGGAGAAGCTGAGCCGATGGGTCCCTGAGGGCATTTTCCTTCGGTGGAGGGGTGTTGGCACCCAAACTCCATGTCCCASTGATGATCCTGACAGTGGCACCGGCCACCCTTCACCCCAGCACTAAAAGAGAGCTGTCACTTTGMTCTCCAGAACCTAAATAGTGAGGAAAAACATAGGGAAAATGTGCAGAGCACGGGGAGGGTTAATGCTGTGAGCAGAGTGAAGAGCACAGCTGCTGGGTTCTGGTGCCAGTGCTGGCACTGCCTGCCACCGGGTCACTGTCTCCGCCGGGCAGTGGGGACCCAGCCAACCTGCAGCACTCAGCGGGTGCTCTTGGGGTGAGCTGAACCCTTTTTTCCTATTTCCAGGTCAAACTCCAGAAATCCCTGGAGAATCTTTCAAAGGAAGTGGAGGAAGTGAAGAAGCGTGAGTCAGCAGAAAGGATGAAAACCCAGGAATGTAAGGCAGGTGCCTCTGTTAATTCTTGAAGACTGAACTTCAGAAATTAAAAAAAAAACTCACCCTGAATGGCTGTGTCTGGGGACACGGTTTCTTCAGAGTCTCCAGACTAAGACATGTCCCTGTGTCCTGCTGTCAGATGTAGGAGCAGTGCTGCAAACCAGGCTGAGTAACTATGTCTGGCTCCATAAAATAGTTCGCAAGGAGCAGCATGCCAAATTCTCTGGAATCAYGAGGACTTTATACTGGTTAAACAAATAGACATGGGCTATTTTTTATTGCCTTTTGTTTTACAACATGTGCTTGAGTTCCAAGCCAGGCGTGAGCTGTGTGGTGAACTCTRCTCCACAGCAACAGGAACTAGAAGTGTTTTCATTAGGAAAAAAAAAAGCTGAATTGCTGCACCTCTGCCTGACTCCAGACAGTTCCGGGAGGAGCAGACACCAGCAAACAGATGTATTTCAAGTCCCTTGCGGGGAAAGCTGGAAAGTTAAAAGTAACTGAAAAGGAATTGAAACTGCTGGATGAGTTATCCAGCCCTGAATTTGAGCTGATGATTAATYAGCTCTGGCAGGGAAAACAGGTTTCTCTGAATTCCTGTAGTATTTTGCTCAGCTCCCTTCCCCAGACAAGTGATKTTGGGTTTGTGGGATGTCCCTGTGAGCCCTCTGTCATCTTTGGGGCTGGGATGGAACTGCGGACTGAGACTGTGAGAGCAATATCACTGTTCCCCCACCCGTGTGTCACTGTCCCCCCTCTGCCTGAGTCAGGGCTTGGGGGCATGGCTCAGCTGCCTCCAACTTCCTCTGGCTGTGTTTTCATAGCAAAAAGAGCAAAAAGTCCCTTGTGAATGGTGAAGGAAGAGGCTGTGTCTCTCCTGGGTTATCAAGTCTTCATGACTCAGGTCCAAGGAATGATGTACTTGGATGAAAAAAAATTCAATCTCCTTTCCTTTATCTTTGTTCTGAGGTTTCCTGGCCCAAGCTCACCTCAGGGAGTCTTCCTGCAACGCCAKGTTTCCAGCCAATTTTTCGGGATGAGGTGCAAGTCCCAAAGCACTGGCRGACCCTGCCTACTGCTGGCTCCTCACCTTGTATGAGAACTGGGGAGCCCTCTCAGGCTCTCGTTTCCATCCCTCCCCAGCCCCAGGGCTTCTTTACATGGCAGACAGTGACAGGACAAGAGGGAACAGTTTTAAACTAAAAGAGCAGAAATTTAGATTAGAAAGATAAGAAAGAAATTCCTCCTTGTGAAGGTTGTGAAGCTGTGGCACAGGTTGCCCAAAGAAGCTGTGGCTGGCCCATCTCTGGAAGTGTGCAAGGCCAGGGTGGATGGGGCTTGGGGCAACCTGGTCTAGTGGAAGGTGTGTCTGCCCATGACAGGGGGTGGAAGCAGATAGTCTCTAAGGTCTCTTCCAGCTGAAACTATTCAATGATTTTATGATTTTTCCTCCTCTTTCCCTTCACTGGAGATTTTCCCAGCATTTGCCWGCTGCCCAAGCAGTGGATTAGCCTGGATTTGGCTGGAGGTATGAATTGTAATAAAAACCTACCCYGACACCTGAGGGCACCTTCTTGCAGCTCAGCACACCCCAGATATCTGGGGTCCAGCTGAGCAGAAATGCCCCAGGTGAAGTTCTGCTGCTGGTAAACTGAGGATGTGGAGCAGCAACTCCAGTGAAGCGGAAGCACAAGTTTGCCTCTGGCTAGTTTTTAAATTCATGCACTTATCACAAAAATGCGGTGTTTTCCCAGGGCTTGATGCTGGGCATGGATGCCGGAGAATCTGGCTCCATCTCAGTCTGGATAATGTTTACCCCGTGAATTTTCTTATCCCAAGGAGACAGTGAAGAAAAAACGGGAGAGGATTGTAAGTGAGTTTGGGAAGCTGCACCGGTTGCTGGCTGATGAGGAGAAGCTGCTGCTCCAGAAGCTGGAGGAGGAGGAGAAGCAGATTCTGCTGCTGATCACTGAAAACCTGTCCAGGCTGGTGGAGCAGAAGTGCTTGCTGGAAGAGCTGATCCTGGAGATAAAGAAGAAGAGCCAACAGCCAGCTGATGGGCTGCTCAAGGTCAGGCTTTGCCACTGGCCCCAGTAAGTCAGCACCAGTGCCTTTGTCACCTGGGTGGCTGGCTTGGCCTAGACTAGCTGGTGAGCCACACACCCAGAATGGTTTTTGTCTTCTCCTTCTAGGATATGAAAAGCATCCTGGGCAGGTGGGTACCCGCGATTGTTCCTGGTAGGTACCCAATCGTTATTCCTGGCAAGCACCATTGTTGTTCTTCCTACTGTCTTGGCTGCCCCAAGGCTCTGAGGCAGATGTTTGTGTCTRTTCCACACCAACCACCCTATTCTCCCTGCCCAACCACCCTATCCTCCCTGGGGTGCTTTGGTCCTCCTGGGGTAGATATAGGAGGGATTGAGACAATCCCTCAGAGGTTCCATCCTCTTTTTCCAGAGCTCAGAGCCAAGGTCTTGCCTGGCTTGTGACATGTGAGATGCGTTCCCTCCCGAGGAACATGCTGCCCAGTGGCTTTGCTCCTTCCTTCCCCAGGCCTGGCGCTGCTGCTCCCTGTATCATTTAACYCTGATCCCATTTGGGTTGTGAATATGCAAGTGATTATCCCTGGTGCACTTCCCAGCAGGAGCTCCAGGGAGGCAGTGGATTTATGGAGCCAACAAAAGGGCATTAACCCCTCTCCCAGCAGCATAGGGGAAGTGGCGCAGGCTCTGGATACAGCCCTTGGGCATCTCTCTCTCTTCAGGTGTGAGGGGTTAAAGTTCCAATCCCCCAAAGCTGTGTCAGTGACCCTGAAGGAAAACTACAGCATTCCTGAGCACTGCCTGGGCATGAGGGACATGCTGAAGAAGTTCAAAGGTAAGGGGGCTGCTTTTCTGCCAGCTCCTGGCACATTTGGGCTCTGGTTTCCCCCAGTACCCTGGGGCACAGTGAGGTTTTTCTGACAAGCTTTGTCCAGCTACTCCCAGTTTGTGCACTGATGAGTTCGGGCTGGTTTCATGGTGGGAAGACCTTTGCTGTGGTCTTGGATGGGATGTGAGGGGACCCTGAAGTGGAGGAGGTCCCTCGGG